GAATGTTATTTGGTAGTTAAAAAATAGACATGACTATGATTTTGTTATTGTGATTACTGGTAATTCTTTTTCATCTCCAATAGTATTTCCTTTTGGTGTGTACCAACCAGGTACCGGAGAAAAATGGTACACAAAATATTCAAAGCAAGAAGATGCGTATTCTATTGAGTTAGACTTTTCTGAATTTATTGACGGTCTAAATAATGTTAAGGTTGCTTCTCCAACTTCTGAAATTGTAGGAATAGCGAAATATCCCATGTCTTTTGTTTATAGAATAGGAAAACCTTTCAAACTGGGTAGAGAAAATCATGAGTTTGTGATTTACTGTCCTGATTCAATTACAGACGAGAACGGGACACTATGTGTTAGGACTGGCATTGATTTTTTAGCCATCTCCTCCACAACATGTGATACAAAGTATTCGAAAGAGATTAAGGAATTTCTGAAAGATTATTCTATCCATATTAAGGACCTTACCAAAACAAAGAACGAAATCATAATTAGCGGGTCTAAGATGTTATCTACTGGTGTATCACTTGGTGAAAAATATTGGCTATTAGATCCAAAGACATCTCCAAAAAGATTTCTAATGACTTTGGGAAATAATGGCTCTCAGAAAAACATAGGAATATTTCAATGGTATGACGAAAACAATGATGAGAAGGAAAATGATGAAACAGAGATTAACGACAATGAAGATGTGGGATATATGAATGATATAGATGATAGATGCGATGAGGAAGAGGAGAGTAGACTTGAAGAAGAGAGGAAAAAGAAAGAAGAGGAAAAAAGAAAACAAGAGGAGAAGAAGAGGAATGAAGAAGAAAAAAGAAAGAAAGAAGAAGCAATAAAGATTGCAAAAGAGGAGAAGAGGAGGATCGAAGAAGAGAGGAAAAGAAAACAAGATGAGAATCAAGAATCAAGAAGAAAGAGAGAAGAAATAGAAAATAAGAAAAGAAAATATTATGAAGAAAAACAAGACAATGAACCACCAATGAAAAAGAAAACGAATGGTATTTCTTTCGTTGAATGGTTGAAAAAAAAGAATATTACAGAGCTGGAATTGTCAAACATTCCACTATGTGAAAAAACACCATTAGAATACCTTTGTGGAATGAAAATAGAATATTGGCCCTTGTTTGAATGTTACAAAGCTGTTTGTATGCTTACCTTACAGCAATGTCTGAATGGTGATAAGTATGACCTTGGTGAATTATTAAAGCACTA